AAGATCTTACATGAATTATCTTACGCTTCACATCATTTTAAGTCATACAAGATCTTGAAAGATCTTACAAGTTGTGTGATGTCACAAGGAAGTAGTTGACAACCCACGATAGCCTTTACAAAAGTATGAGCATATAAAGAAAGCAAACTTTCAACAAAATTAAACTTAATTAAGCTATAATGACATCATTCTTATGCATTTAAGCAATGTAAGTTCTTGCTCAGATCTTACAATTACAGTCATTTTAATACTATGGGATATGCTTGGAATCCCAAATCCGAACTTAACTATTTCTTCAAGATCTTGACAAGATCTTACAATATCCTTAAGGCATGATATTAGTTCATAACAAGTAAGAGTCTTAAAAGATCATACAAAATTTAATTCCAGATCTTGACTGATAATGTAAGATTTAATTCCAAATCTTTACTGAAAATGTAAGATTTCATTCCTGATCTTGCCTGATCATGTAAGATTTAGTTCCTGATCTTGACTGATCATGTAAGATTTCATTCCTGATCTTGCCTGATCATGTAAGATTTAGTTCCTGATCTTGACTGATCATGTAAGATTTAGTGCCTGATCTTGACTGATAATGTAAGATTAATCGTCAGACCATGCCTGATCATGTAAGACTTATCATAAGATCTTGGCAAGATTTATCATAAGATCTTGGCAAGATTTTGGAACTTCTTGTCTAATGATCTTGCAAGAACAGGCATGATTAAACATGCAAGATCATTTGTAAGGTTTCATAAGATCTTAAGTAAGATCTTACGTAAGATTTTTTTGCTGGGTGAGAACGATCTCTTTGAAATAGCTTCAGGAGGCATCCATCTTATAGGACAAGGTATGTTAGAAGAGCTCACGTAGACTGATTCATCTTCAGGTCGTTCTCTTAAAAGTCCAAAATCAGCTACTTTACATATTTCACCAAGTCCTACTAGTACATTACGAGCTGCTAGATCCTGTTGGAATAAAAGTAAAGGATATTTTAAAACTGCTCAAAATCGGACCAAGAATAAATAAATGCTCAAAAATCAGGCCAAAGTCCCTGTACTATAGTACAGGGTCACGGGCCAAATTTTGCCAAAAATGAAAAGGTGAGAATTCTTTATTTTTATGACATTCTCTGATGCATATACATGTACTTACATGTATGTTGCGTAGAAAGTTTGAACTGATTCCGATTAAAATTGGATTTTATATGAATTTTTAAATTTGCTCAAAAATCGGGCCAAAGTCCATGTACTATAGTACAGGGTCACAGGCCAAATTCTGCCAAAAATGAAAAGGTGAGAATTCTTTATTGTTATGATATTCTCTGATGCATGGCGGAACCTGTGCTAACAGTCACCTGAGTAGTGAGGTCACCTCTCTATTATAGCCATAAGCCAATATCCCAATCAAGACCTGTACTAAAGGATTAGCTATTGACTTGTCTAATGTGTAATGCGTAAAGCGGCCACTTGTCCAGGCCCACTGAGAGAAGACATGGGGCCAACAGGGAAGATTAAAATTAGGGGCCCTTTGCAATAATTAAAAAATTTTACAAATTAAATGCTCAAATATGACTGAAAATTGCTTGACTGACTTAGGAACACTAGCAATTGAAAGCAAACTTGCAGAACAGCTAAATTTTGATTATATGATAGATCATTTTGCTAGTTTAAAAACAAGAAAGGCACATGTTTAATTATGCAATGATGACTTATTATACTTTAATTATAATGTACATTATTATGGGGCCCCCTGAAGTGAGGGGCCCAGGGGATTTATCCCCAGCTCCCCCCCTCTCTCAGTGGGCCTGCGCTCGTCCAAGTCCCTTTTGGTCTGAAAGAAACTAGCTACTCCCATAGATATTAGAGTAAATGAAAGGGATTGGAAACTTCTGCGTGGGCGTAGCAATAATGCCATTTGATTGTATTGTTGCTAAGCAAAAAAATTGCTAACTAGGCGGTTTGTTACCTTTTGACCACAAAATTCTTGATTTTTTCCATTAAAATTAGAATAACTCCAAGAAGAGTGCTCTGATGAAAAGAAACTCAACTATCAAGGAGTTCAATGTTTTGCACTGTTAATTATTATTTATTTGGTATATTTAAATTAATATTTTGAGTGTTATAGCGCTTTTGCCCGTAAAATTGCTGTTTTCTCCCTCTAATGAAGACAATTGTAGCTAAACACTAAAAAGCTTGTCAGAATATAAAAGAACTTTCAATTACCTATGGAACGATATGAGGCAACACTAGAATAGCAAAAGCATGAAAGCTGTAGAGGTGAAAAGGTGTCAAAAAAGATGCCGACTTTGTGTACCCATAACTGGTCAAAAAATAGCTCTATAGAAACAAAAACCCTGCTATAGGTAGTCATAAACTTTCTATGTGGAAAAGAAGATATATCATAGGCAAGCGCTATCTAATAGTTGCACAATATTCCTTCGAGATCCTTTCCGCACAATAACTACTGTGGAGGAGATGGGGAATGCAGATAAACATGAACGTTGCCAATCAGGTAACCAGGGGTGACAAAAACCGCATCGCCGGGCTGGAATGGTAGTTTCCAATCCCTTTCATTTACTCTATTATCTATGCTACTCCAGCCAACCGAAAACCACACCCATTTTTAATTATTGTTGAGTTTATTATTTTACCATATTATGGAAGGAAATTGTGGAGGTAGTTAAATTTGGCGAATTTGGCATTTTGATAGCCATTCGCCAAAATAAAAATTCGCCATTTTGAGCCATTATACGCATGCTCAATGGCACGTGGCCACAAATTCGCCAAATTAAAATTCGCCAATCACCAAAATTTAGCAATTCGCCAAAATTTAGTCCCTCCAAAATTTCCTTCTGTACGGTATTCAGTTTAATAATAAAATAATTATGATGCATATCAGTGATATCAATCAATTCAATTAACTCTCTTGACCTGTATAAACAGGCCATTCCATTACAAAATGGTCAATGGGTGTATTACAGAGGCTGACCTGTAATGCAGCCACCTCCATAATCAGGCCATTTAAAACTGGCCCAAGGGTGACCGGATTAAGCAGGTTTCACTATACATGTACTTATGCTGCATAGAAAATTTGAACTGATTCCGATCTAAATTAGATTTTTTACAAATTTTTAAAGTTGCCAGCAAAGTCCCTGTACAATGTCATGGGTCAAATTTTGAATTATTAAGTATTGCAATCACTGGAGACACAATGTACATATACATAATGAATGTAGTGTATGTCCACTTACTCTGTGGACTAGTCCTCTCTCTGCTATGTAGTGCATTCCCATTGCTACATCAACCATGTACTTCACTAGTGAGTCTGGACTCTTTTTAGTTGGAGAATTCTACAGAAATGGAGGAGGGAGAGAGAGAGAGAGTATGATACCAATCTACCTTAAGGCCACTATTATTTACGAGTACTAATTTCTGCGTTTTTTGCGAGTGGCTTTAAAATTGCAAAAATTAGTACTCGCATTTATTAATAATTTATGTTTTTTAACAGTTATTAATTGGAAAATTGAGCAAACCCGCAAACAACATGACTTAACATGAGGTCAACGTGACCACCCAGTGCTGAGTAAAGCAATCCCGTGTTACCATAGCTATCTGCTATGTCTGGATCAACGTGACATTCATTAACTAGATACTGTGCAATATTGAGATGGCCTTTATATGAGGCCATGTGTAAACTAATAACACCATCATCATCACCTTGTGAAGGATCACAATGATAAACATCAATGAGGAGACAGAGGACATCAATGTGGCCACCATATGAAGCAGCTAATGGTGGACTCCATCCATTTTTACCTCTTTCCTGAAGGCCAGTCTTGTTAATCAATCGTTGTACTTCATCTTTTAATCCTCTCCAACATGCTTCATTCAATGGAGTGCTGGTATTCTCATACCAGAGAGGATCATAAATATCTATATAATATATCATAAATAAAGTTAATAATAATAATAATTACCAATAGGAAAATTATGAAGCTTCTTTAATTCATTTTCTGGCAACTATAATTATAAAATATGATTATAATTCTTAGTTATTGACATACCTGCTTCTTTTTATGTACATATTCATGACAAGTAATTTTTATGATTTCAATCTCAGCCAATGAATGACACTGTTGATTGGTTGCTGGAAAGAGATCAAAATAAAGAAAATCAGGAATGGAATATTTTAATTCCATGCAGTCATCATCAATCGTACAAAAATATAAATTATATTGAGGAACTTCAAGTGCATCAGCGATTAGCTTGTGAAAGAAATATAAATCATTTAATGTGTAGTCGTCTCTGGCAAAAGTGAGTAAAAGTGCAATGTAATGTTTAATGAAATTGATAACTTCTGAGACGTCAAGAGAGCGGAAGGACTTCTCTATATGATACATGTATTATCAAGGTAAACTTCTTTTAGGTCTCCAATTATTCATGTCAGGTTATTTGATGAATATTCAATTGATTTCTTCTTAATGTAAACAACTGAAGACTCAAATTGAGGTGAAGTAGGAACTGGTAGCTCAACAGTTGGAGTAGCTTCTAAAATAATAAATAAACAAATTATAGTCTCGTGACCAGACTAAACTAATTATTGATTATTGTATTATATTTACCTTTAGAAGATGAAGTATCAACTGGTGATGTAGTAGCTTCTCCACTACTAGTAAGATTAAATTCTTTTGCTATTTCATCAGCTAGAGCTGGATCAGCTCCTCCACTATTACTTTTAATGGAGTTACACAGCATTCTTAATGTAGGGACACCATGACTCTTATAGTCATGGTCCTTCTTTAACCAGCAATCAAATACTTTCCGTAGACAAGTTCTTGGTGGTTTGCCCCCTGCTTCAATCTCATATAACTTGTAGCTGATTCCTAACAGAATACCAATAGAGTCCCAGCGTCCTGAAAGAACACCAGCTTTTTCCCATACCAGTTGAAAATCACTAATATCTATCATTAATAATACTAATAAAACAATTATTATGAACATGTACTCACTAAGTTCTCTCTCAAGGCTCTTTTCAGCTCCTCTAGTTTGGTTGATATTTCACTTCAGTTTGGAATGTCACTGAGCCCTGCCCAAAATTTAATTAGTCTACACTACTGGAGTGGTCAGTGCAGTAAGCTCCAGTCTACATTAGTACATGATACTGAAGCAGTAGATGCAACCAATTCAGTACTTGTATTTCCTAGTAATATATCTTCTACTCCTCCAGCAATTGTGATGACTGCAGCATCTTCTGTGAGTGTACCATTACAAGAAGAATATTTGTTTGTAGCTGAACAAGAGAGTAACTATAACAATGAACTATCTCTTTTATATCTTTAACATAATTTTAAGGCAATCATATCTTCAAAACAAAGAAAGTTCTTAAGTGATTTTTATTTTAGGCAACCATGATCCTAAAGTTCTATCATTTTAATTTTCGCGGCTTTGGGGCGTGCGCGTGGTAGAACTAGTTTCTATAGCAACAATCATGGTTGAAAATGGCGGAGAAACTCTGGCAGGAGAGAACAAAGATGTCCTTAGGATGATAGGCCAGTCTACCCGGGAGGGGATAGTATGACGAGTAGTTTAGAGTGTGATCTCATGATAGAGTCGCTCCAAAGAGAGTTGGACATAGTCCGGGTAAGAATTATTTCAAAGAAAGTCACGTGATGACTTCCCGCCTTGTTATAGTTGGAGCATGAAGCCATAGTCCTGCAACAAATTCTATAAATACTGGAGCAGGAGGAGGAGGAGAAGGAGAGGAAAGGTGAGAAGTGATGCTTGCTGTAGGGAATACGTTTTATCGATTTCATTACAGACTTATTGGCCATAATGCCACTGATGATGTCAAAGTGGCCCTGATCAACCGTGGAGCAGGGATAGTAAGAGCATGCAAAGGGATATATCATAATGCTTTGCTTATACTG